CTCTCTCTCTCTCTCTCTCTCTCTCTCTCTCTCTCTCTCTCTCTCTCTCTCTCTCTCTCTCTCTCTCTCTCTCTCTCTCTCTCTCTCTCTCTCTCTCTCTCTCTTCTCTCTCTCTCTCTCTCTCTAGATCTCCTCATTCCTTTCTCACCTTCCTTCCTATGTTTCCCCTCTCTATCTAACTTCCCTGTGTTTCCTCTCTCGCAGGTTCAGGCGGTGAACGTCTTCACCCCTCCACTAGAGGTTATAGCTGCTGATGACCATAGGAAGCTGATGCTGTACTCAGCCCTACAGCCGAGCAAAGTGAACGCAAGGCATGTGTATACTAGCTACGCTCATAGGGTCTATGTCCCCTAGGGTACTGCCGGAACGTACCCTGGGTACGGTCCGGTATACCGGAACGTACCCTGATCACTATTTGATATGGTTAGGGTTAGGATTAGGGTTAGGGTTAGGGAGTAGGCGTAGGCGACTCCCTAGACTCGTTAGTGAAGTAGGCGAGGTACGGTTCGGCATATTAGATAGTACCAGGGTACGTTCCGGAATACCAGACTGTATTCAGGGTACGTTCCGGCAGTACCCTGGGGGACATAGACCCTCTCAGCACTAGCTACTGCCCCTATATGATGCCTATATATCCCATAAAGTCTATAGATATAGTGTGTACTGTGTGTATATAGCTTGTAGTGTGTACATATAGTGCTTAGTATATATATATATAGTACGTAGTGTGTATATATAGTAATGTGTATACTTCTGTCCATCGATGATCCGGAACAAATATATGCTAGCCTATCATGAGTATATAATATAGATATCTATTTTATTATACACTCCTGATTCTATAATACCGAACAATTATTTATATCGATGCCATTCAGTGTGTGTGTATATAGAGTGCATATAGCGTGTATATATAGTGTGTACTGTGTAGCGTGTATATATAGTGTGTGCTGTGTATATATAGTTTGTAGTGTGTACATATAGTGCTTATAGTGTGTACATATAGTACTTAGTGTGTATATAATGCGTAGTGCGCATATATAGCGCATAGTGCGTATACAGATCCCGTGTTATACAGCTGTGTGCCTGACAGGTGCTGCCCTCTGTATTTCAGTACGACGACAAGTGCGCAGTACCCACATCCCGTGGTAGTGGTGAGCAGCCCTCTACCCTGCCAGCGGCAGCACCTCGTGCACAGGCTAACTCGCGAGTTCACAGACTATCTGAGCACAGGGTACGACTTCTCGTTCGCTGCTATCGTATTTTATCCACGCGAATCGGCGAATTCGCGTGGTCGGCCATTTTCATCCTTGTGTTTGTCTTCTCCCTTGCTCTGTCTGAGGGTCTTTTCTAAAACTGAAAGGTTTGGGTGGAGGAAAGGTGGAAAGGTTATTCAAGAGTGTCTTTACACTCACATACTTTGTTTCAGGTTAGTCATAGGTAACGCAAATATATGCGTCAAGTACATTTTTTTTTGTAGGCCTAATACTATATATTACCTAATGTTGCATATGAAAGCATATGGGATCTGGGATCTGTTATATGGGATGAGGGATCTGTTATATGGGATAAGGGGATCTGTTATATGGGATAAGGGGTTCTGTTATATGGGATGGCGATCTGTTATATGGGATAAGGGGATCTGTTATATGGGATAAGGGGTTCTGTTATATGGGATGGGGATCTGTTATATGGGATAAGGGGATCTGTTATATGGGATAAGGGGATCTGTTATATGGGATAAGGGGGATCTGTTATATGGGATAAGGGGATCTGTTATATGGGTTGGTGATCTATTATATGGGGTGGGGATATGTTATATGGGTTGGGGATATGTTATATGGGATAAGGGGTTCTGTTATATGGGGTGGGGGGATAAGTTATATGGGACGGGGTATCTATTATACTAGCTATTTACGGCCCGTGAATCACGGGCCTCTAGCATTTACGCAGGTATCATCAAAATACGATCGCAATATCCAAGAAGTAAATGAAAAAGTATAATAACTTGTAATGTAAAAAAGACAGTTAATAAAAACAGAGTAGTGTACTTCGACTCGGATTCATGCATTGTCACCTGCATACCCTGACCATCAACGCCTCGGCGCGGCTCGCTCGTGACCGCGTAACGCGGTTCTGCCTCTCAGGGTGCTCCACAGCAGCCGGCGCACGGAGCCGTGCGTCGCCGTGACGACGGCGGAGGAGATGGAGAGGATGACGCGAGAAGGAAGGTTCGTGTGCACGGCGGAGGAGCCGGGAGGTCACGTCAGCGCCCTCTCCCTCGAGTCTGTCGAGTTCTCGGCTCTCTGCGGGAAGGCGTGCGTTGTCGCCCTGTCGCTGCAGGTAAGTCTCCTTCGTCGCACGAAAAGGAAGCCAAGCTAGATAGTGAGGAGAGGGTGGAGAAGGTTAAGGGTAGGGATGGACAGGGTTAGGTGATGAGGAGTGGGTGGATGGTAACCAGGGTAAAAGGTAATGACTGAGAGTAGGGTGACTAGGGTGAGGGGTGAGGAATAGATGGATGGTGTTAAGATAGGGGTGTAGGGTGAGGAATAGATGGATGGTGTTAAGATAGGGGTGTAGGGTGACTAGGGTAAGGGGTGAGGAATAGATGGACGGTGTTAAGATAGGGGTGGACGGTGACCAGGGTAAGGGGTGAGGAATAGATGGATGGTGTTAAGATAGGGGTGTAGGGTGACCAGGGTAAGGGGTGAGGAATAGATGGATGGTGTTAAGATAGGGGTGGACGGTGACTAGGGTAAGGGGTGAGGAATAGATGGGTGGTGTTAAGGTAGGGGTGGAGGGTGACCAGGGTAAGGGGTGAGGAATAGATGGGGTAGGAGGTGGTAGTTAGGGCTGTCTTTCACTGCTGATAGAGAGCGTGTGGTGACAGTGATGATCTGCTTTGCAGGGCACGATGAGTCTACAGAGATCTCACCTGCAGCCGTACTGCATCCTCACCATGCCCACCGACCCACAACAACTAGAGGATATACTCAATGCTGGTAAGCTGGCAGGCAGGCTGGCAGGCAAGCTGGCAGGTAGGTGGGTGGGTAGGTAGGTATGTACATAGGTAGATAGGAAGGTAGGTAGGTAGGTACATAGGTAGATAGGTAGGTAGGTACGTAGGTAGGTAGGTAGATAGGAAGGTAGGTAGGTAGGTACATAGGTAGATAGGTAGGTAGCTACGTAGGTAGGTAGGTAGATAGGTAGGTAAGCAGGCACGTAGGTAGGTAGGTAGGCAGGCTGGCAAGCAGGCAGGCAGGCAGGCAGGCAGATGGGCAAGCACACAGGTAGGTACATAGATAGGTGTGTGGTTGTTATCTTTTATTAACGTTTTGTAATTGTTAACTAAATATAGTTCATCAAAATCTTTCTCGATAAGGATCAACCCACCACTGCTGCTGCATGGGGATTTGAGATAGTAATGCATAAGTAGCCATGTTGTGCGTGTGTTATATATGTGTATAATGTACATGCGTGCGTGTATGTTGTGCGTGTGTTATATATGTGTATATATGTACATGCGTGCGTGTATGTTGTGCGTGTGTTATATATGTGTATATATGTACATGCGTGCGTGTATGTTGTGCGTGTGTTATATATGTGTATATATGTACATGCGTGCGTGTATGTTGTGCATGTGTTATATATGTGTATATATGTATATGCGTGCATATTATATATATAATATATTCCCTATTATCTACTCCTGATATATATATATATATATGTTGTGCGTGTGTTACAGACGATGCATTGACGGATGAAACGAGGCAGGCTCTTCGTGATGATGCTGCTGATAGCAGAGATGCAGCCAACGCTGGTCTGTTCGACGCCGTGCTTGATACAGGTATACCTTCCTATCATCCCCTCTGATAGTGATAGTGATAGCATCCTTGTTGTTGCGCCTATATGCCTGCCATCTCTCCATGCATTCTCTCTCGCTTTCTCTCTCTCTCTCTCTCTCTCGCTCTCTCTCTCTCTCTCTCTCTCTCTCTCTCTCTCTCTCTCTCTC